TTAAGGCCTAAGAATTAGCAAAAAATTAGAAACTCAAACCCAGTCAAGGACCGGGTCTTAAGAGCTAGTCCGTTTTAATTTCCGCTTTCCTCGCTATCTCTGCTGTCGCTGCCCCTAAATTTAATATGAACCTATTTACTTTTGCGTAAAAAAAATATATTCAGCAAATAATTGTTATCAACTTATTTTTCAGGAAAGCGTGAAGCAGACTCTCTAGGTAACTGAAAATAAATATTTTTTTTTAAATTTATAAAAAAATATTCATAAAATAATTGTTATCAACTTATTTTTTTAGGAAAACGTAATGCAAACCCTCTAGGTGACTGATAAATAATTTTGGTTTTAAATTTCAAATTATTCCCTATCCTTAATGGTTTTTTTTTTCACTTTTTCAGATAAGCGTATTGCCCATAAGGACGATTATTACGATTCTTATTCCACATATAGGTATTACGACAGTCCATACGGGTATTACGACAGTCTATACGGGTATTACGACAGTCCATACGGGTATTATGACAGTCCATACGGTGATTATGACGGTCCATACGGTGATTACGATTACGGTAATTATGGTCATAGCGGATACAAATCCAAACGTAATGCCATACCTGAAAAACGTGGAGGCAAGGGCAAGGATAAAGACTCTTATTACGGATACGGATACGATTATTACAACTATTATAATGATTACAGCTATTATAATGATTATAAATATTACAGCTATTATAATGATTATAATGACTATAATGACTACGATTACGGATATGGCGGTTACAGCAAACGTAATGCCTTGGCTAAACCTAATCAAAAGCGTAGAGCTGAAGCTAGGCGCAGGCATTAATCTTTAGAAAGTCGAATAGTCATATAGAACGGTTAAATATTAGCACGAAATCAATTTCATAGCATAGTTATTTCATATATTGTAAATATCATCTCATGTGACAGTTTCATACAACAATCTCATACAACAGTCTCATTATTTTATATCTTAGCATTTAATTCAATTTTTTTCATTTTGATGCACTGTCACTTTTTCATTTCTTTTTTTTATATTTGCATGTATTTCGTGAATGCCTAAACAATTATCTTAAAATAAAAATAGATCAGCAGTTGCTGTATGTTTACTATACGTAATATAGCATACGAATTAATGTTATTGATTTGTTACTGTATAAGACGCATTTTACTGATTTATACTTATTATACTTTGTACAGTACAGTCATCCCTCCATATATCCCCTATATAGTCACAAACTCTATACAATCACACCAAAATATAATACCATTTTTTTATATAAAAATACCTCTATATAGTCACAATTATATTATAATGTCACGGGCTAAAAGGTAGATCGACAAATTCGGCACAGCAAACCCGTGATTGAAGAGAATCGAAAGCAAGAAATACTAGTTTATCGGTTGAGGCTTATCGGCCGAAAGAAATTGGTAAACAGGTTTGTAATTTAACTCAAGGCTTAGATTAAGAATAACTCCTCGGCCGAATTAGCCTCATAACTAACGCGAAATCCGAAGAACCTGAATGCGTAAAGAAGAAGACCGAAATTCAAGAAATCTAAAGAGAAGAAAACAAGAATCAAGAATTAGTTAGAAATAGTTAACAATATGAAATATTGTTAAACAAAGCCTTCGTTGTTATAATCATGTTGTACTTATCATTTAAGCCCCTTAGTTATAGTGATTTCTCCTTGATTCTTTCGTGATTAAAGATCAGATTTATCTCTAAGCCTCTTGAATTCGTTAGTTTAGAAAAAGTTATAAAAGCTCTGTAATTTCCCTCATGTAAAAGGAGATCCTATCCTACGGGATTCCAATATTACTGATATATTAAATTGAATAAATCACCTTGATAAATCTTTTAAAATAAATTATTGTCAAATCACTATCGTCACGCCTCTGGCGAGTTGCCTTATCACCTAAAATTATACGTTTTCGTGTTTATCCTATTAAAAGGATACAATTCACCCCGTAACAATAATCACTATCACATTTTTTTGGAATTTGTTGGATGATTTTAATAAAAAATCACCTCTTTACAATCATATTCATAACATAAAACAAAAAAGATAACCTACCCGCCTGGACTTTTATTAAAATTTTTAAAATATAAAATTAAAAGTTTATTTTTATAAATATATGACTCGGAAATATATAATCAAATTTTGGTCAAATCTATAATGATAACGTAAGAATTCCTGTTTTATTTTATTTTGGGTTTGGCCCGGTTTTGTATATAAAAAATAAATCAGTTCCAACTAGGTATAAGAATAGACGGTTATTAGACTAATTAGATCTAAATTATTATATATCATTACCTGTTTATTATTATAGTTTTTATTCAAATTATTAATTTATTATTCTAAACTAGAGATGCAATCTGTTATCCATTTTTCTATTTAAGGATTCTTTATAATAATTTTGTTGTAAAATTATATTAGAAGATATCCGGATCGCATCTCTAACTCAAACAAATATTCAAACCTGTCTATTAGTTTGCATGCTGTGAAAGTGTGACTAACCTCCTTAAAGCTAAAACTAACTAAATACTACACTAAAACTGCTTAAACTATCTAAACTATAACTATAATACTTCAAAATTAGCGTCAAGACTCCAAGGACCTTGAATGGCAAGCTTCGAATAGAGGCGTGGAAGACTTGGTCCGAGTTACAAGATCTCTTTGGGTCTTGTAATGTGTTACCGGGTTTAATATAAGTATCCCTTGGTCTTTATTGTCTGCTGGTGGTTTCTTGTAACGTTATTTCTAACAATTTAATATCCTTATCTTTTCTTATTCTAGCATTACGGCTTTCTTGGTCACGTGTGATATCACTTCGATAACTGTGGTTCTTCGGTGATTCAAGATTTGACTTTAATCGGCATTATCAATTCGGATTATCAATTTCGACATCACAAGAAAATAGATCGGCTGAGTTCGGATTTTCAATTTACTAGTACGTCACGAGTACTTGTATCGGTAGTGATCAGATTTCCAATAAGCTTAGTATGTCATGAGAGACTTAAGTCACGGGGTAATTAGGTTAATTGTATTGTTCGATAAATTCTGCTAATAATGAGGTCACGGGGATGATCAACTTATGTTGAGGACGATAATTGTAAGCAGTACGAAACTTATTTTCCTAGGCCTTTGCGGCCTCTATTTAGAATAAAAGATTCAGTATTACAACAAATCCGATAAATTCAATAATTTGCACTTGACCCCGTCGTACTAAGCCGCAGTAGGTGGTTCGGATATTGAACCTGGTTTAGGTGCCGCACAAAAAATGCGCGGCGGATCCTCGATTTTGATTGGCGACGATCAAAAAATTAGGCAGCCGCCCATTAAGTGAAAATTGTTCCTGGGTCAATTTTACCATAATACGAGCTTATTTCTTAAAAATTTCTATGTAAAAATTAAAAGGTTAATTTCGGCCGGAAATTAGTAAGCATTTATGTAATGCGGGCCAAAATTTTGAAGATCCTCGGCCGTTAGCCAATCAAAATCGAGGATCTGCCGCGCGGCACCTGGAGCTCACACTGTTATGTGTTGGGTTATACAAAATTTCAATCACGTGATTAAAGTAACAGTAACTTACACGGGTATATTAGAACCTAAAGTTACAAATAGGGATGTTAAAAGTTTGGTCCGGTTTGACTCGACTCCAAAAGTCGAACCTTTATTAAAGTTCGATTCTGAGTCAGACTTGGGATTTGACCAGCGATCCGTAAAATTTCGAAAATAGAAAACATTTTTCGCAGTTTTTATTGAAAATCGCATTTCTTATGCTGTACGACAAAATTCACAATTTTGATTGGTTGACAATTTTCCTACGCCAATCACATTTGCATATTTGGTTGTGTAACTTCACGTGTACAAAAAATTTTTGATCAAAAAACGGATTGGTAGTACTACCAATCTATCAAGAATCAGAAACGGTATTCTTGCCTCAAAAATACATTCACCTTCTAATTTTTCTTTTTTATAATAATATTCTAGTTGACAATAAATGAATTCTTGAATTATATTTATTACAAATGATGAATTTCAATCAAAATTAAATATCGCAATAAAAAACATTTTTTGGTGTTACTCAACATTTTTTGCCATTTTTAAAAACAATTTTTACGGGTCACTGGGCTCGACTCGCATTTCACGTGCAACTTGTATAGCACTAACGCTAAAAAAATGTATACGCATGCAAGATATGCGAATACACATTTTTTTTCGGCTACATTTAAATGTTCAAGATGAAATGCGAGTCGAATCCCAAGTTTGACTCGGAACCAAACTTTAATAAAGGACCGAACTTTTAACATCCCTAGTTACAACCCGGATAAGTTCAAATTGAACCTTTTTAAACTCAAAATATATACCCAGATTTGGTCAGGTTGAACCTTTTGTGTAATCCAACACGCTTTGGTAAGCGAAATTTCAATTTTTTATTTTATTTTATTTTACATAACTAGGTCGAAGGTTGGATAGATCATAATATCGAGCATTAGTCATTAGGTTTCTAAGTTCTTGGTATTACTTAAGGAAAGATCTATACTTTACTCGGCTAATTATTATACCATACCGAGTACATTATCTTAGTTAATTCAACAAATGTTACAGAGAAAAATTTCTTGCATTTTCCATAAAAATTTACACAATTTATTAAAAGTACTTTACTCGGCAAGGGTATATATAATAATATGTCATTCACAAAATTATCCAATATCAATAGTAATCAAAATAGGATGCAATGCGCAAAATCATTTGCCTTTAGACATTTTGCCATTACATACTATTAAATTTGTACTGATGGAACCGTGTTTTTCTAATAATGATAATAAAAATAAATTCTTATATAACTGAGATAAAGCTATAATATTTATTACATTGACATTACCTATAAAAAAAAACAAGATTGTGACGATAATGTGTATTGAAAAAAAATGAATACCGAAACATCTATTCAGTTGAAGTAGTAATAGCAGTTTCTGATGAAATACTATTATTACTTTTAACTCTGGGAATTATCAGAGCTTTGGAAAAAACATTGTCTGATTTATCTTCAATAGTGTCAAAAACTGCGATTGCGGGGAAATAACAAATTTCTACTTCTAACTTTTTCATATCTTTAGACTTTGTACCTGCACTTTCCATGAATAAGGGATTCATTTCGGTACCATTTTCGTAAAATTTATATGTCGGAATAATCGGATGAACTTCAAGTCGGTAAAAAAAGAGTTGAATAATTCCACGAATTATTTGTATGATTTCGTTATCTTCGTCACTATCGATAATTTTTCGATATTGTTCCAACTTTTCAAGAACTTTTGTTGAAATTTCTGTAAGTAATAGATGGTCATCGTACGAGAAAGCATAACATCCAAGCATAGAATGAACTTGTTGGCGAATTTTAATCGGAATAGCTTTAGCAATTTCATCGTTTTCGGCATATTTTTTTGTGAACGAATTTGTCATATCTACTATTTCTTTTGTCTTGGCTACCAAATTAACTTCAATAGCAGAACCATTTATGAGAAAATAATTTTTTGTCTCGTCGATAATTGTTTCAATAGTCAGTCGTTGAAGTGCTGCAGATAGAACTTTTTTTCCATGTCGACTGTCAATTTCAACATTGCATTTATAAAATGACAAAAGTTCATTGCACTTGGTAACGTCAATTTCATATTCAGGACAAATGAGTGTCAAATCACCAAGTAAATCTTGTAAATGTTTAATATCTTTATCTAACTTGACAATGTTATTCGGATCTTCGTCACTAAAACCAAGGTTGGTCAAATTTCCATGCGCTGCTTGATATTTTGAATTCTCTTTTTGCAGTTCGATAATTTGTTCACGAAGGGCATCATTTTCATTTTTCAAAGCATTCAACTCATCTTTTAGGTTACTGTCGTCATCTTTTCCCGAAAATATAAGCAATTTGTCATCTGGCTGAGCTATATCAATCAATGCTTTCATCCGATCGAGAACTATGTTTCGAAGTTTTTCTTTTTGCTTCATTGGTAACATTTTCAGTTGTTCATAAAAATCATATCTATGCTTCAATCCACGTGTTTCAAGTTTATCCAAAACAGAAGTTATGAGGTTCCTTTTGTATATGTCATATCCATTAAGACGATAATTTTGATAATCACTAAAAAGATTTATAAAACTCTTAGTTCTATTATCATCAATACACATGTTTTTATTTAATTTTCGAACATAACTGATCATCAACGTTGTTTCTTCTTTAAAATCTCTTTTTCTATCCTCTCCAAATTTTGTATTATTCCAAATCACAATAAATAAATATGCGTAAATTTCCCAGCTCAACTGAGAAGAAATCCAAATCAAAAGATCCCAATCATCATCTCGTACAGTTTCCAACCTGTATAATGCATTCTCGCCAGAAGTTACTGGTCTAGGTTTTGAAAATACTCTCATTTTAAAATATTTAGACGTCAAATATTTGAAATTTAAAATTCAAAAAAAAAAAAAAGATTGACCTCATCTTATTATGTATATATTTAAAGTAACACGCATAAAAAACTTCAATGTTTTACAGCTACATTCCAAATAAGGCGTTATCAAAACAGCAACAGTAAATTTAGAATAGTGCGTGCAAATCACACAAAACTATTATCTCTCAATTATATCACATGCATGTTTATATAAAATCCCAAACTTAAAAAAAAAAAAAAAAAGGAACATGGAAGATATTCGTGTGGTTGTTGCTATAGATTTCGGAACTACAAATTCTGGATTTGCTTTTGCTCACAAAGAAAGGCCCAAAGAGAGGGAAACATATAATTCATGGTACTTTTAAAGTTATTTATTATTTCATATTGTTACACATTATTATATATAATATACTGTATTCATTTTTTCAAAAAATAGGCCGGATGATTCGGGCAAATTCAAAACACCTACAGCACTTCAATATGACTCGAAATATAAAAACGTGATAGCTTGGGGTGTAAATGCTTTAGTTGAATTTCAAGATGCAGTTGATGATGACGAAAGTAATCAACTTTCGAGACCAGTGGAATTATTCAAATTACATTTACTCGATTTAGAAGAAGATAAACCGTGGTTACCACCTGGATTAAATTATGAACAAGCAATCAAAGATTACCTAACTGAAATGCGAAAATTAGTTGAAGAAAAACTTTCTTCAAGATGGTGCAATGTTAAATTTCCTAGTCAAGTTAAAATTATATTAACTATCCCGGCAGAATGGGTATCGTAGCTCTCTTTTTTTTTGATTTTGTTCTCATGTAAATTTTATATAAATCACAGTTTGGTATATATTCATTTTCATACTTCATCAATCAGCCTCCGCATACTACCAGAATCATGCGCGAATGTGCATATAAAGCCGGTTTATTGGACAAATTATCTTCTAACAATTTAGAATTTACAACTGAACGTATGTAAAATAATCATGCTAGTTTATTTTACTTTGAATGCATAAATAATAATAAACATGAAATTTTAGCTGAAGCTGCTGCTCTACACTGCCTTAGCGTTGTTAAAGAGCATGATTTAAAACCAGAAGGTAATTTTTCTTTCTTTCTTTTTTTTTTATTTTATTTATCTGTATACTTATATTTAAATATGTTTTTTTTTTTGACATATAGATTCTTTCTGTGTTGTAGATTGCGGAGGTGGTACAGTCGATATAACGATTCGTAAATTACTTGAAAATAATGAATTAGGTGAAATAACTGAAAGAGTTGGTTATCCTTGTGGAAGCACGTTTGTGGACAAAGAATTTCTGAGATTTATTGGCGAAAAAGTTGGAATAAATGCTCTATCAGATCTTAAAAAGAATCATTATAAGCAAATTCAAAATTTGGTGCAAGAGTTCTTTTGCCGCAGAATTAAATTTGGGTTTAAAGGAAGACAATCAGAATGGAGGCCAATTAGATTGGATTTATTACATTTTTGCCCTAGTTTAGAAAATTACGTCATTGGTGATCGAAAAACTGAAATGGAAAAGGATGGATGGATCATTAAAATGGATTTTACACCTGTCAAGGAAATGTTTGATCCCGCTGTCAATAAGATTCTCGAATTGATTTCTGATCAATTAAAGGCCTCTAAAGAAAAGTGTTCGGCTATATTTTTAGTTGGAGGATTTGCAGAATCGACTTATCTGTTAGATAAAGTTAAAGAAAACTTTAGATTTCAAGTAGACAAGATTTGCGTTCCGACATTACCTATTACAGCAGTAGTCCGAGGAGGTTTATCTTATGGGTTAAATATCAACACTGTTAAAACACGTGTTCTTAAATGGACTTTCGGAATTGAAGTAGCAAGAAAGTGGGTTCCTGGAAAGGATGAGGTGAAAAGGAAGTCTCCAGGTGGTTTGATTTATACTTTTGAAAGTCTTGTAAAGCGTGGTTCAGAAGTTGAAGTTGACAAGCCAATCTCTAAAGTTTATTATCCGTTTCAAGCGAATCAAAAAGCAGTAACTTTTAAAATTTTTTATACCCCAGAAGAAGGCGGAAAATTTTGCGATGATCAAGGAATGAAATACATAAACACCTTACGCATTGATATACCTGATATCAAACATGGCCTTGACCGACCAATAAAATTTTCATTAACTTTCGGTAAATTAGAATGCAAAGCATCGGCATATAATGAAAAAACAAAAAAAAAATATAACGACATAGATTTTTATGTGGAAGAATAAATTGGAGGAAAGCTATCATAACCTGTTTAATTGTGTACACGTGGTTTTATTATTCACGCGTTTAAAATTATTATTGAAATTCGAACCTTAGGCCAATAAAAATCGTATTACATTTCTATCAATAAAAGTAGTACTACATTAGTTCTTGATATTTTTGCTCGAATGAATTGATAGAATTTGAAAAAAGATAGATAATGAGCATCGTAATTTTGGATGAAATATAATTTAAAATAGTACAGGAGTTGTATAAAACATATATTTTAAGTGTAATTATTAATAAAGTTTTTTTCCTATCATATACTGTATTGCCGATTAAAAACGAAATTAAACAATTGTATAGAATTTGTAGAAATTCGTATCAGTAACTACGTTTTCTACCATACTTAATGTGAATCATATGAATTCTTTGTAAAAAACATTTTGTGATAACAGTATAGTAAAAATAAATATATATATAGTATATAAACTATATAAATTATATTTAATTGTAAATTACGTATAATAAGCCTTTATTGTAAATCTTTATCAGTTATAGTCATATTTTAAAGGTGATAAATTCGATTACATCAAATGTTTTGGTATTCTATTCATTGCGTAATGCTTAACGTTGAAGCTTAACAGTTAAAAGAACATTAAGGAATATGTATGAAATTAACAGTAGGATCTGCATTGATAACAATTTATGCGTGTACAGTAAATGTGATTTATTTGCTTTAAGAAACGTTTTTGTCATGAGCTATTTTAAAATCCTATTTTAGGAAGACGTCGCTTCGATAAAGAAAAAAGGATATTTAAAATTAAAAAATTGGATTCAATCCGTACAATTCTTTTTTTTTTTTAATTAATAAATTTTTTACAATTTTAAAATGGTTAATTGCTTATATTGCTGCGAAATTGAGCCGGATCTAGACCCCGATGGTACTCCGAGTGAATATTGTGGTGATGAATGTCGTCGTAAAGCATTGAAAACCGGCTTTCTAACACCATGCGTGCAATGCAAAGAATTTCCTTGTGCTAAATACAGTCAGTTTTGTGGATGGTCTGTATGTAGAAATATTCCAACATGTATCAAGTGTAAGGTAATGTTAAATCAAAAATGCCTTAGTTTCATTGATCTTTTTTTTTTGACAAAAAACTCGTGTTTGGTGAATAAAGAAAAAGAAAGTGAGAGACATAAATTCTTCATGGTGCTCTAAAAAGTGTAGAGATGATACACCAAATTGGAAAATGATGATTAAGAGTGATGAACCTTGTTTAGAATGTCGACAAGAATATCCACTTAACGGCAAAGATTTTTGTAGAAGAGAATGTGAATGACGTGCTCAAAACAATGGTGACTATTTTTATTTGTGACATGTTTTTTATGCTTGCACGCGTAACGCCTAATTTGACCAAATTCTTTACAAAAATATGAGCACCCTGTATATACAAACTTTCAAATGAAGGACGAAAGTTTAAGGATATTTCTAATCAATTTTCATCCTCGTGGAAACATAAGAATAAACCAATTCCTAATGTATATGCTGTTTATAAAATATTTCCAAACCAAGATCTTGTAACAAAATACAATGATTATCGAAATTATGTTGAAAAAAGACGCGGTTTTGGATATAAAGGAAGGTCATTTCCCAAAGGTGATGAAAATCGAACAATGACGCGAGGAAATGAGCAAAGAAGATTTCATGGAACTAGGATGTACGTATATATATTCTTTAGCAGTTTTCTGATTTTATTTCTATTTAATAAATTGGGTACAATTTTTTTTTGCCGAAATTAGGAAATGTTTTCTAGGGATAAAAACAGATACATTATGTTCAAATCCTGAATGTTCAATATGTGGCATTATTGTAAATGGATTCAAACTCTCTTACGAAGGACCGAGAAGTTTTCCTTGGCAAAAATTTGGGCAAGGAATTTATTTTTCTGGTACTTCATCAAAATCAGACTACTTCAGTAAAGATACAAAATTACACAACTCTAAAAAGTATAAAGCAATGCTTCTCAATAAGGTAATAGTAGGAAGGGCTTTTGAAATGCTAGAAGAAGACAAAAATATGGAAGGATCACCAGCTAATTATGATAGTGTTGTTGGGGAGTCCGGTGAAAAATTGAATCATGATGAATTGGTAGTTTATAAAGAATGCGCTTGTTTACCTCGATATTTGATCATTTATGAGAAGTCAGACAAATCTAACAAAAATATATAATTAGTATTTAACAAGCAAAGTGAATAATAAACGTTGCTTCGCGTTAAAAGAATATATCGACGTTAATTTTATTTAAATGTGTGTTATAAATTTTAAATATCACGTGGCCGAAAGATTCTTCTTTTCATGATATGTGATAATGCTGTACAAACTACACGAACTCTATAAATTCTAGATTTTTTTTATCACCTTAGACGATAACCCCTTAATTTGATATCATTATTTATTATTTATTCTTCATCTCAAAAATTTAATATGCTACGTACAACGATAACGATAATAAAAATAAACTTTATATTTAAATCGTGATGTTCTAATGATCTCGGCCTCAAACTCCGATTATAATAATCCAAATTTAGGATGGTGTTATCGCAGAAAAAAGCCACATTATAGAATAAATAATAGCTTCATTGGAGATTTATCGTTATGTAATTACGATTACACCCGAAGCTACAAAGCGTTTGGGGAAATGTACTAATTTGGAAACAATAACTAATTCGATCTTTACCATATTCTACTATTTCACAAATATCAAAATTGGTAGGTTCATGTTTTTTTTCTTAAATTAAGATCATCTGACGAGTCACCCTATCTTAATCGGGTAATATCGCGAATTAGTGTGACCACTAGATTTTTGTAAAAATTCTTTGTGCTGAATGCGTTGCAACCTATCGTTTCAATGTTAACGTTATTATGCAGCAGGACTTTTATTTAAATCAGCTCAATGAAATCTGAATCCGGATAATTTAGTCCAATAATAATCCAGTCATGTAAAATATGCATTATTCTATCAAAGATGACAAGTAAAAATAAGGATGTTCCAAGCCGATCTATTTAATATTGGTAACTTAATAATTTGACACATGCTCGGCAGAATCAAGTAAAAACTTGACAGTAAATGATCAAGTAGGATATCAATTATATGAAATAATCATAGATCAAAATCCGTTGGTTAGTAGTAAATACATACATACTTCGTATGCAATAGCATTAGCTATTTTGCACCACTTCTAGAAACTGACTTATAATTTGATCCATGATTATTTGACATAAAAAAAAAAGTAATTAATTCGACTTTTATGTATGATACAAAAATATAAAACCGTAATTACACTTTATACTGTATAAAGACAATATAATGAAGGAGTTACGTACCAAACAATAAATTTGACAATTGCAATAATAATAAATTTTTTTTATCAATATCTCGTGTCACCGAAAGTCTAACAAATGAGCGGACTTACTAGAGCTATTTCATAGAAATCCACATGATTTATCTATAATCCTGTCTATTCTATCCTAGCTATCCTTGAGAATCCTGCATACCTGATACAGGATACAAGTGCATTCTGGACTCATAAAAATTTATAGAGTAATTCAACTAATGATATAACGGAAACCTGGGCTGGAAAAATTGTCCTTTATACGTACTATGATCTTTTTACTGTTGAATCTTTATCATCGTTAAAGTATAATGGTAGTTCTATTCGTTTACTGCATGAGTGCGCCAGGGCGACCACCAAAGTACGGGACACATGATAAGACGCCACAACCATGTATATTTTAATAACCAGTAGTATATTGCTTTGTTACATATTTCAGTTTAAGAAATTTTCACAACAATAAAGCTGTATGCAGGAGTTTAGACAATTCAACAATTTCTAAAGAAATTATGCAGTGGTAGTGGCGTCTTATCACGTGTCCCGTACTTTTGTGGTTGCCCTGGCGCACTCTTTACTGCATCATCGCAAAATCACGCGCATATTCGTTATTTCATGATAGTACGATATTTGAAAGGTGTTGCAATTAGAAATCGCTATGTGTTAACATGTGATCATCAAGTTTAATATTAGTTAAAAACGCATTAATTTAAAAATATGTAATACGTACGTACGAATAGACACATATCCGCGTCAAATCCGTGTCAAATATCATTCGGGTTATCAACGGATAATCGGATATCCGGATTGTGAGCTATTACGAAGAATGCTGCGAAATTCAATATTTTCAACGTTCTCAGAGAACATTAATTAAATTTAAGGATATATATATTCTCTATTTGAGAACATTAAATAATTTTTTTTTTTGCTATAAACGACAAAAATTTTTGAGAATATTAAGGGTTTGAAAAATGTTCTTGTGAGAACATAAAATCAAAATTGAATTTCACACACTGGTTATGACTAAAGAAAAGACGATGCACATTGGCGCAGTTTAATCATTAACATTAACCATAGAAATTTGGACCGGCAGATCCTCGATTTTGATTGGCTAAGAGCGACGAAAAAAAGATTAGGCCGGAATTACTCATAAT